CATTCCACACAGGTATCGCGCGTCATTATATGTGTCTCTTTCTTTATTACATAAATTTTAATAAACCATTCTTGTTGTTCATTGCATGAGAAAGGTACATTGAATTTTATAAAACATTTTTTGACAGTTCTAACAGCCAAATAAATTTTGTTATTTATTGTCATGTGACACAAATCACCCAATCATGTCAACATTATACTGAAAACAGCCCTAGGGTTGTTCTCACTCTGTGACATTGCCTCGAACATTGCTGTCAAAAAAAATTTCTATCCGAATAACCCTCGAACATTGATAAATACTCAAAAATTTTACAACTTTTTCAAGCTTGTTGTTTATAAAAACAGATCTCCGCTAGCGCGTCGGTCTGTTTTCAAGCGACAAGCTTTCGAAATCTGTTATAAAATTTTTTCGAATAATTATCAATGTCCTTGGGTTATTACCACTGTAAATTTCATGGAATTTTATGAAATTTCATTGAAAATTTCATAGTGAATCATTTGATTTTGAAAATTTCATGATATTTTGGAAACTTTCAGAAAAATTCAGAAAATTTGAAAATTTCACGGAAATTTCAAAAATTTCAATATTTCCATGAAAATTTCAGAGTGAAATTTCCAGATGAAGTGAAAAGTGAAATTTACCCAACCCTAATTATTAGTGCATATTCTTGCACTGTTTCGGTATGATATTTCTTTCTAGACATAAGTCGTTTATGCACTTGCGCGCTACTGACTTTTATTTCAAATTCAGCTAGTAATTTTCTTTTCAACGTTTTCCAGGATTTAATGCCACTTTCTGACTGTATGAAAAGCTTCGCTAAACCTGTCAAAGACTTTTTAGCAAATATCAATTTCTGTAGATCATTCCAACCGGACACATCGGCAAGTTCTTCGAAGTCTGCGATCCATTTCTTAATAGGATAGTCATCCTTACCACTGAATGATCTGATGCTCTCTTCCACATCACGGAATGTCAATGCAAAAGAATGATCTGTCTTCTTTGTTTTATTTGTTTTTAGCCGTCTTGCTAAATCTGCTAGAGTTTCTTGATCGTCATCCTCACCTTCTTCTTCTTCTTCGTCGTTGTCGTCTTTAACTCCATCTTCGTCAAGTTCTTCCTCGTCATCTTTTTCGTCTTCTATTGATAATTCGTTCAAAAAATCACATACGCGATCGGCCACTTCACTCTCTTCACCACTATAGTCTTAAATTCAAAATATTACACACTGCTATTAAATCACTCAAATTTAACTGTTGTTTAACTTCATTCACTTTCTCCACATACTCGTCCGACTGTGGTATCTAATTGAAAACCCGAAAATTTACGTACCTGTTTCCTATGCTAGACGCGGAGGACCTTGTTGACCATACGCGGCTGTGTGTAAAGCTTGAATAGTTTTAAGTTTAGCCCCTGTAATATTATGTTCAATTTTCTCAATAGCACCCAAAGTAGTCATTTTGTTATTGAAAAAAACAAACTTCAACCCTTATAATCAAAAACAAAACAAAACTCGAAGGTAAATAAATCACCCTTAAAACCTTTTAACTCAAAACGTGGTCGTGAGTCGAAAAAAATACAACTAAAATAAACTTAATTTAGCAAAATTCTCAACTCAAATCAATCGATGAAAATAAAAACAATTTTTCAACTAAGTAAGTACACTTCAAAATAATATACAAAAATATACAATAAACAAAGAGACAAATATTCTCTTCAAACAGTTCCTCAAAATACTTAAATATTCGAAAAAAATACACAAATAAGAAAGATGAATCAGTACACAGCCTATTCGCAAAACTAGTTATTGGCTGATAAAATCATAAACATTTTCAAATAAACAACATTAAAATCAAAAATAAAGTTGATAATAAAATGCATTTCAATATTTCACTAACTTTCAGTAATATACACCACATATCTACATAATAATATACATAAAAGCCACAATCAATAATAATTATAAAATGTTTCAAATATTTTCATGTCAAAAACTTTCAACAAATGTAATTTAGCACTCAAAATCTAATCTAATAATCAGTTCGTTCAAATTTTTTTTTTTTCTTTATCAAGTTCAAAGTTAAAATCACGTTGAAGAGGTCAAAGAGTGCACTTTTAAAAAAAACAAATGCCATCCACCAATAAATAAAAATGTTTAGATCCTACCTTGAATGTTCATTCAAACCACTGTCGATTGTTTTTTTTTTTCTTTGCAAGCAATACAGTCTTCGCATGGACTATAGGTATCAAACTATACTTCAACTTGTTGCATCTTCTATGTCGTCATTCACTCATCGTAAACCATATTATTGTTTCTTCTTCTGCGTCGTTTCCAAATTGTCGACTTTCTGAAATCTGACTTTGTCCTTCGTTGTTTGCGTCCAGTCCCACTGTGTGTGTTTTATCTATTTCTATCTATTTTTTATCGGCTTCATCCCGGACGAGCCCCCAAATTGTAGGATTTTTATCGTTGTCTAGGGGTATTTTGGGGCAAGCAGAAAATCAAACGTAACGGTCCATTGAAAATATAAGGAAATTTTAATAATATTTACGAAGAATAGATAGATTAGATGGTAGATTAAATACGTCATTGATAAATATACAATTGGCACGGAAAATCACAAAAACAACTTCACAACTAAGTATAGGTACGTTTTCACGACCACGTCTTGGTCGTTTTACGGCTTTAGAAATATACGTCTTGAAAATTAATTGAACGTCGCGTCTTAGTCGGAAGAGAATTATTTGGAGAAATGAAGAAATATAATATTTACATAATTACAAACGGAAAAAAATACTTATACCTATAAATACAAACACAGATACCGATTAGGTTTCGTACCCTACAGATATATTGTGAAGTGTTTTACAACGCCTCAAATCAGACAAAAGAAGATCTTTAAAGTGTATGTTAACATCGATGGCACTTTTATTTTAATGAATGTTTCATTCGGCAACATCGCACAATGAAATTGCAAAGGAATATGTCAAGTATAATCTAGCATAACCTTAAACGACACTGCGATAAGTTCAAGTTATATATATAAAGTATTAGTTTGCTCTTTGTCGAATTACACGTTACAAAAAAAGAAAGAACAATTAATTCTGAACTCGTCCCTGAATACGAATATGACGCAAGCCCGTAACAAAGTCGATTTTCATTGGACGCTCACCTGCAACCTACGAGTTGCGCGCGCACACCAGTTATTACGAGACACGTCAATTTGGAGCCAATCAAATTCAAATTTGTCATATTATGTTCAACAAAACCTACCAACCAATAAGCTATCCATTAGGTCTATAAACAGAAATGATGTCACATAATGTCTGCCCAGCGACTCTGTGTCTACGGGGCAACGGTGAGGGGAATGCAGTTGTAAAAAGAATGGCTGATTTCATTCATAAAATACCCAGCTGCGTGCGGAACTTTTTGGAAGTGTTATCGTATTGCAACTCGTACACGAAAATTGACAATGACCAAACCTCCGCCACTGGATATTTCAATATAATTTGATATTCCAAAATGGGAGGATAAAATGACGTCAGGCCTGGCCAATAGCGAGACATAAGGTGACGTTAACTCATTGACAACCGTATGGTTCCCCATGGCAACGGCAATCCTGCCAAAAACTCCACCAATCAGGTTCATCCAGGCCGGATGCTTGCCAAATTGTCAAAAGCTGATGGTATATTTAGAAAATGTTTATTTTTTACAATAGATCAAATTGAAGAAATCAGGACAAATAAGAATAGATCTAACAACCACGTTAAATATTTAGCGTTTTATTATTGTTATCAATATTTTGTTATTAAGAAATGGATTTTCAAATGAACTATACCTACTTCATGTCTAGTATTTTCGCTTTTTTATAATTGACGTTTTCAATTAAAAGAGATGGACGATAAGTATGAAAACATTCATTTTCCCGCCAAAATTTGCTTGCTTGTCAATGTCAATGTGTATTAGGCAATTCAATCCATCTGTCAAAAAGGAAAATTCAATGTGGCGTGGCGACCAAGCAAGTTTGTTTTGAATATGTTTTTATGCGTATTTTAAATTATTTTGCATACAGTTTTGCTTACAACTTTGATTTTCATTATTTAATAAAATATTTGTTGACTAGGTACCTAAACTATTAATTCGGGCAGAAACTAGATATTTTTTTGTGTTTTTTGGCCCTTGTGTGGCCGCCACGCCATCTTGAATGTCACGTGGTTTGAATTGCCTAATTGGGTGTTTAGCAATCCCCTCATTTTTATTCGAATCGGTGACTTCACCAATGAGTTAGCTATCTTTGTTATGTCAATAGAAAATGACAATGACCGACATAGAATAATGGATCCATCGGTAAAATTTGATAATAAAAACGCAGGATTTGAAATTGAGAAGAAAATGTGGGAAAAGTCACTGCTTCATTCGCAGAACTTCGCTATGAAGACGGTGGTGGATTATCTTAGAAGCAAACAGCTTCTGCAAACTAAACTTCAACGTGGATTACTTTGTATACTTGATGGGCCGTGGATTTCCCTTACTTTTGCGAGTATCAGTTCTGATTTTGTGTATCCAAATTTTGACAAATGTAGGATTTGATGGAAACTTATGGAAAAACTCGTCCGCCGGTGAATAGGAATAAATAGGAATTATTTTTATGGATAGGCACACTATACACAATCACCATTGTTAGGAAAAAACCTTGAAAAACCCGAGGAAATAATAGTTTCTTTCAAAAGTCTTGTCTACAAACCACTGTCAACCATTGTTTTCATACTCTTTCGGCGTCTGACAGTTTGATGCCAGACAGAGAAACTTTTAAATTGAAAAGGTCAATTAAACGTGGCAATATGGCGCATTTACATTCGAATTCCTTCCGTAGACTCAGATCCGCTGGGCAAACAATAGTTGATATAATTTCATAATTTTGAAATTTTCTAAATATTCAGTATTCTGAAAATATTTAATAAACCAGCCTTAAAATAAATAATACATATCTGTAAATTCTTACCCTTAAAGTGACGAAACAAAATCTGGGAGTAGACGGTTGCTGGAAATGAACGCTTTCGATTTTCGGATGAAACTTCGACACAATTTCACGATTCAGTTCCACATCGGGAAACTTGATGATCAAAGAGGGACTTTTATGCCTTTTGTTGTACTCCCGTTCCACATCTAGAGCTCTTTTAGCATCTTCAACTGACCAGTCTTTTTTCGATGGCATATTTTGCGACAGCGGCTTCTTCTTTTTTTTGGATGAATTCTTTTTGGGCGAATCTGTATCACACTGCAAAAGAATTTTTGTTTTTGAGGCTTTGTTGTTTGAGGCCTTTTTTTCTGAGTTCAGCTTTTGCACCTGAGGCCTAGAAAAGTTTCATTCTAAGGGCAAAAGACCTCACTCAGAATAATTGAACTGACAACATTTTTAAAACAACAAAACAATAGTTTAAATTTATTTTCAATTTGTAATTTGTGTGTTAAAAATCCGAACTTACCTCTTGCCCGTTTCGTTTTCGACTTATTTGATTGTTATAGCCGCCACTTCTAGCCGAATATCCGCTATTCCGGTATTCCCCTTGATAAGGCGACTGATGACGATAATTGCCCGGTGGCTGCTGATTATGGGTCATATACCCAGCAGCACCAGCAGGTCCAGCTCCTGTGCCAAATTTTTTCAAACATTTTTACAGGGCTCTGACATAATTAACTACTTTTTTTTTTATAATAATAAATATATATTATTATGCCATTTTATTTGATAATAAAAATAATTGTAGAGTAATTGTACATGAGGGGATATTGGAATCAGTATACATTTATTTGTCAACACATCTTCAGGACACTATAATGATAAAATATGTAATTTTCAAGTAATTTCTTTGCAAATTTTCTTCAAAATGACTTTTAGAACTTTGTGATCCATTTAGATTCTGTCATAAGCGCAACTAGTTAGTTTTACGAGGGTTTATACTTACGTCATCATTTGCCTTTTTTTTTGAAAACTAGGTTTTTTTATGTCTGAAATTTCGAACAAACATATAGTTCGTTGCACGGCAGGCAGGTTTTTACTTACGTCATCGATGACGTCATAACTTCATAACTTAGAGAAAAAGTTAACTCAGATTAATTCATAGAGCACCTTCGGAATTATTGTTTTGTAATACATTTTTTAACTTAGAATAAAATTTATTCAGTTATCCGAAAATATATAAATAAATTTCTCCCAGAGTAATTTTTCACTGGAAAATTTTTGAAACTTTCCTTCTGCCAGTTTTCCAGAAAAAATTTAAAATTAAAAGAATGAATTTTGCTTAAAAAGGTCAATTTTCCAGAATTTTTCCTGAGTGATTTTTCACCGAAAAATTTTGAAATTTTGCTTTAATGAGATCCTCACTTTCCTCTTTTTTTTTTGGAAAATTTTCACAATTATCCTTTTGCCAGTTTTCTAGAAAAAAAATAAAATGTAAGAAAATGAATTTCGCTTAAAAAAGTCAATTTTCCCTTAGTTTTTGCATTTTCGAAAAACTCATAATTTTCGTAATTCCCCCGTAACTTTTTCGTAATTTTCCCATAACTTCAAAAATTCGTAATTGCCGTAATTTTTTGTAACTATTTTTAATTCTCCTAATTTTTTTTAAAAAACTTCGTTATTTTTGAGTTTTGTAATTTTCATAATTTCAAAAATTCCTAATTTTTGTAATTCCTATAATTTTTGTAATTTTCGTAATTCTCTTTATGTTTATAATGTTAGTAATTTTTCGTAATTCCTGCAATTTGCCGTAATTTCCGTAACTTTTCAAAAATTGCGAAAAAGTGAGTGTCAAAATCGCAGGAAAGTGACGTTGGAATTACGAAAAATAGAAGTAAAAATTACGGAAAAATGAAGTTGGAAATGTTGAAATTGAGGAAATTTAAGGTTATAATCGAGAAAAAATGAGGTTATAAATACGAAAAACAAAAGTAAAGATTATGGAAAAATTAGGTTAAAATTGCGAAAATGTGAGGCGAAAATCGCGGAAAAGTGAGGTTATACTTATTGAAAAATGAGGCAAGAATAACGGAAAAGTGAGGCAAAATTTGTTGAAATTGCGAGAAAGTGAGTTTGGACTTTGAAATTGCGGAAAAGTGAAGGTGAAATTGCGAAAAAAAAATTGTCGAAAGCCGTTATTTCCCAAATAAATTTCGTTATTTTTTATAATTTTTCCTTAGTTTTTGCAATTTTCGCAAAACTCGTAATTTTCGTAATTCCCATAACTTTTTCGTAATTTCCTTAATTTTTCGTAACTTTCCAAAATTCATCGTAATCTTTCTGTAATTCGTAATTCTCGTTATTTTTGATTTTTTTTTGTGAATTTTCATTATTTCCGTAATTTCTCAGATAATTCTCCCTATTTCTATAATTCCTCCTTAATTATTGTAATTCTCGTAACTTTTCCATAAATCCCGTAACTTTCCAAAAATTATCGTAATTTTTTCGCAATTCCCGTGATTTTTTCTTATTTCTTTCAATTTTTATAATTCCTGCAGTTCCTCAAATTTTCGTAATTATGTGATTCCCGTAATTTCTCAAAAAACTCCGTTATCTTTATAATTCCCTCCAAGTTTGTTGTGATTCTCAAAAATTGGTAATTCCCGTAATTTTTTTTTTCCTGAAATTTTCGTCATTTCTCATAAAATTCTCGTTAACTTCATAATTCTCCCTTAATTTTTGCAATTTTCGGAAAATTCGCGTTATTTTCATAATTCCGAAAACATGTAACTCTTGTAGTTTATTATTGGAATTTTCGAAATTTTGTAATTCCTGTCATTTCTCAAATAATTCTCGTTATTTTCATAATACCCCCTTAGTTTTTACAATTTTCGAAAAACTCGACATTTTCGTAATTCCCATTATTTTCGTAATTTTTTAATTTCCGTAATTTCTCAAAAAAACTCCGTTAGTTTTATAATTCCCCCTAAGTTTTTGAAATTTTCGAAAGTTGGTCTATTTCCTTATTTTTTTTTTGGGGATTTTCGAATTCTTTTTAATTCCTATCATTTCTCAGATAATTCTTGTTATTTTCTAATTCCCCCTTATTTTTTTCAATTTTTGGAAAACTTGGAAATTTTCGTTATTCCCGCAGTTTTTCGCGCTTTCCCCATCGTGATGTTTCCGTAATTCCAGTAATTATTTGTATTTTCAATTTTCAACTTTCCTAATTTCCAAAAAAAATCGGAATTTTCTAGTTCTCCTTGAGATATTGTAATTTTCGTAATTTCAAAAACTCGTGATTTCCGTTATTTTGGGAATTACCGTAATTCGCGTAATTTTGGAATAACTTTGTAATTCTTTCCCGTAATATTTCGTAATACCCGTAATTTTTGTAATTTTCGTGGTTTTTCGTATTTTCCATAATTCCCGTAATTTTTATAATTTCTCATAATTCCCGTAATTTTTCGTCATTTCCGTCATTTTACTAAGTTCCGTAAATTTTTATAATAATCATTATTTTTCGTAATTCCCGTATTTTGTCTTGTTAGTTTTCGTAACTTTTCAAAAATTAGTAATATTTAAATAATTGACGTAATTTTGGAGTAACTTCGTAATTCTTTTGCGTAATATTTGGGAAATCCCATAATTTTTGTAATTCCCGCAATTTTTTGTTATTCCGCGATTCTCGTCATGTTCCGTAATTCTCGTAAATATTTGCAATTCTCATAATTTTTTATATTTTACGTACTTTAACGAAACTCCGGTAATTTTTCGTAACTTTTTAAAAATTATCGTAATTTTTTTGCAATTTTCCGTAATATTTGAATGAATAATTCACGTAATTCTGAAGTAATTTCGTAACTCTCTCTCGTAATTACCGTAATTTCTCGTAATTTCCGCAAATTTTTCGTTATTTCCCTAATTCCTGTCATTTTTCGTAATTTTCTAATTCTCGTGTATTTTTGTAATCACCGTAATTTTTAATATATTTTTTCAATTTTTCGTAATTCCTGTAATTTGTCTTGTATTTTTCATTTTTCGTAACTTTTTTTTCATAATTCGCGACATTTTTGTAGTAATTTTCCCTAATATTTAAATAGTTCATGTAATTATGGAGTAACTCCGTAATTCTTTTCCATAATATTTCGTAATTTCCGTAATTTTTGTATTTTTCATAATTTCTCGTAATTCGCGCAATTTTCCGTTATTTCCGCAATTTCCGTCATATTCCGTCGTAATATTTGTATTTCTCGTAGATATTTACAATTCCCAAAATTTTTCGTAACTTTTCAAAAATTATCGTAATTCTCGTAATTTTGAAATGAGGAAAAATGAGGATAAAATCGCAAAAAAGTCAAAAATTGCAAAAAAAAATAATCAAAAATCGCAAAAAAAGTGAGTTTAAATTCGCGGAAAAGTGAAGATAAAATCGCAGAAATTAGAGAAAAAATCGCGGAAAAATGAGGTAAGAATTGCGGAAAAATGAGGATGAAATAGCGGAAAAATAAGTTTATAATGGCGGAGGAGTGAGGGTAAAATCGCAAAAAAGTGAGGCTAAAATCACAAAAAAAGTAAGAACAAAATCGCAAAAAAGAGTCAAAAATCGAAAAAAAAAGAGTCAAAAATCGAAAAAAAAAGAGCCAAAAATCGCAAAAAAGTGAAGATAAAATTGCAAAAAAGTGGGACCAAAAATCGCAAAAAAAATGAGTCAAAAATTTTAAAAAAAGTGAGTGTAAATTCGTGAAAAAGTGAGATAAGAATCGCGGAAAAATGAGGTAATATTTGCGGAAAAGTGGGTTTACAATCTCGGAAAAGTAAATTTAGAATCGCGGAGAAGTGATAGTAAAATCGCAAAAAAATTAGTCAAAAATCGCAAAAAAAAATATTTAAGCATCGCAAAAAAAATGAGGTTGAGTTCGCGGAAAATTTAAGATAAAATCGCGGATAGTAGGGTAAAAATCGCGGGAAAATGAGGATCAAATAGCGGAAAAATAAGTTTGGAATCGCGGAGGAGTGAGGGTAAAATCACAAAAAAGTGAGGCTAAAATCACAAAAAAAGTGAGGACAAAACCGCGAACAAGTGAGTCAAAAAATTGTAAATAAAGTGATGTTAAATTCGCAAAAAAATGGTATGAGAATCGCGAAAAAATTAGGTATAAATTGCGGAAAAGTGAGAATGAAATGGTGAAAAAAAGTTATGCAAGAAAAAGTAAGGTAATATTTGAGTGGATGTAAAATCGCAAAAAAAATGAGTCAAAAATCGCAAAAAAAGTGAGGATCAACTCCCGAAAAAATAATATGGGATTGGCGAGAAAAAGTGAGACAGGAATCGTGGAAAAGTGAGGTAAAATTTGCAGAAAAATGGGTTTAAAATCGCGGGAAAGTAAGTTTGTAATCGTAGGTAAAATTGCAAAAAAGTGGGGCTAAAATCGCAAAAAAGTGGGGCTAAAATCGCAACAGAATGAGGCTAAAATCGCAAAAATAAAGTCAAAAATCGCTAAAAAAGAATCAAAAATTGGAAAAAGAGTCAAATATCGCAAAAAAAAGAGGATAAAATCGCTGAAAAGTGAGGATGAAATCGCGGAAAAAATTAGCCAAAAATCGCAAAAAAAGATTTCAAAATTTTCCTATAATGAGCTTTTCACTTTCCTCTTTTTTCTGGAAAATTTTCACAATTTCTCTGTTGCCAGTTTTCCAAGAAAAAATTAAAATATAAGAGGGTGAATTTTGCTTAAAAAAGTCAATTTCCCAGAATTTTTCCTATAGTGATTTTCCACTAGAAAATTTTAAAATTTTCCTATAATGAGCTCCTCACTTTTCTCTTTGTCCTGGAAAAATTTCACAATTTTCTCCTGGAAAAATTTCACAATTGACGTTCGGTCAACTGCCATTGCGTGCGGTGGAGTATCACTTTCCGCATTTGTTAACTAAATAACTATTATATGTATATTTGGGACTCCATCTCCAATGATTTTTCAAGGGCCGGTATTTCAATGTCACCTTAAGATATAGAATAAACATAGACATTAACAACATCGTCTGACGTCATCGATGACGTAAGAAAGTAAAAAAAGTGCAATTTTTTTTTTATATTAGTGTTAGGTAATGCCACTGTAGGTAGTGCTATGGTGGGATGCCGAATGAGAGTGCTAATTTTTGCTTTAGGGGTGCTTAGCACCCTCAAGCACCAACCTAGTTGCGCCTATGGATTCTGTGTCATTGCTTTAACAGTGTCCTGAGACTTGATACAATTTTGCGACAATTTAATACTTTCCAATATCCGCCAGTTTAATAATTAAAATCTGCACAAATTTAGAAAAATAATCCAGCACAAACGCGCTCTCACCTATTGGAGGTACTGGAGGAGCGTTCTGAACCGGAAAGGCATATACAGTACTGCTCAAAATGAAACCTGTGGGAGGCGGTACCGGCATATTAGTTGGAGGCGGTACCGGCATATTAGCTGGAGGCACTTGCAAATTCGGCGGGTACTGTTCTGTAGGGGGCGGCGGAGGCGGCATGGCAAACAACCGCTGATCCACCATCGGTTTTTCGACGGGCAAAGGCGGAGGCGGCATCGTATGGTAGTTTGTTTGTTGATCTCGAGTCGGAGGAGGAGTTCTTAAAATCAAAATACAATTTATTCATTATAAAGTATTTTTTCTGTTAATGTTAAAATTGTTGTCTTCACCTTCAACTTTGTCCAATAATTTTCAAAATTAAGCTTGTTTTAAACTAATCTACTATTATTATTGGACAATTTGATCCAATTTAAGTAAATTTGTAGTTGTATGATGTTTAAGTCAATTTGAAGAAATGATGTTTTACAACGACACGCAAACTAAAATTATGCTTACTTAGTATTTATCGTATTTGGTGATTGCCTTGGGGATTGCATATTGGATCCTTGATAATATGAATATCTCGATGAGTCGTTTTTGTACGGGGGAGTTTCTGGCGATCCATAGCCTAAATAAAAGAAGATTTAAATTATTATAATTGTTGATTATTTAGAAGAAATATTATTATTACCATGCTCAGATTTATTAGGACTGCTCAAAGATGGAAGGTAGCGCTTGTTTTCTTTTGGTGGGGGAGGTGGATAGTTTCGATTTGGCGGTGTTCCTGATACCTGAAATTAAAATAATTATTATTGATTAACATCAAATCAAAATTGGTAAAAGTTAAACGAAAATATTGGTAAGTAGACAAGATTATATTGAAAAATTTAAAAAAAAGTTTTAAATGGAGAAAAAACCATTCAATTTTGGAAAAAGCGAATTTACGTAGTACTATATCACAGGGTTATAATTTTTAATTAAGTGGTAACGCTCCTAGCCACATCATATGTTTTGTCTTTATCGCACTTGTACGATTTTAAACGAAAGCGACAAAGACCAAACATCTTTACTGCCAAAAGGATTTTTGTCTGTCCAAAACTACCTTAATGTTCCAAAATGATTAAATTTTAATGTGGAAATTTTTACTTTAGAAAAATTCCCTTTAATTCCTTAAAGCGATTTTATTTCAGGAACTATAAGTCCAAGTGAGCTGAAATTTTGAGGGTTTGTATAATAAGAATTGCTGAAAATTTCAGCTGTCTATCTATGATACAAAAAAATTATGGTGAAGATCTTCGTGCAAGGTTTGTAGGTGAGGGAGGTTTGCCTGGTTATGTTTCTTTTTTCTTGTACTTTTCTTTGGATTCGTGTAGTTTTTGATTCAATTTCCTGTAGATAATCTTCGTTTTTTCCTGGTGTTGCTAAGTATAATTATTTATAAGTGTTTTTCTGACGTCATATAGGTGAGCAGTCAATATATCCATTGGCAGTATGTTTATTGATTATTGTATTCGAGCAGTGCATCTGCCATTTGTTCCTGTACGCTTAAGGATTTGTTACTCTTTCGAAGTATCCTCAGGTGTTCAATAAAGGTGGAGTGGAATCTTTCAATCATCCCGTTGGATTATGGGTTATCAGGGGTAGTGTAATGGATGGATATCTTATGTGCATCTACAAATTCCTGCATAAGTCGATTCTTAAATTCTGTTCCACTATCTATAACTACTATGTGTGGTATTCCATGATGAGTTATGAAGATTAGGAGGGGATTAAGAACATTCATTGAATTTGATCCTTCTATGGGATAGGATTGTTCCTGTTCTGAGACGGAATCAATAATTGTTATAAACTTTTGTCCTCCGGCTTGAATAATTTCCAAAGGTCTAGTCAGTGTTGGAGTAATTATCAATTTAGGTTTAGTTTGGCTGAATTTCTATCGTATTTGTTAGACTGACAGGTGTCACAAACATTTATGATATTTTCGATACCTCGTTTGAGGTTAGGCTAATAATATTTTCTTCGAATTTGCGCTTCGGTTTCGTCAATTCCTCGATGATTTGTTTTTCCTTGATGGTAGTCCTGGATTATTTCACTTCTTTGCTATAGACGTCTTCTAGGAGAAAGTTACATTTGATAAAGTCAAATGCATGTAGCCTGGATTTGTTAGGGCAGGCTACTTCTATTATCGGCTTTCCTGGATTATAGTTAACAGACAATTTGACAATTTGGTTATTGTAGTAGTATTTCGTTGATTGGAATGCCGAGTATAGGTTCTTCCTGATCAGCGTAGTTAATTTCGTTATCTTCTTCCGGATCGACTTGTGTGGGTTCTGAATTATCAGGATTTCACTGATAGCCTTTTGTATTTTCGTTTGTGAAGCGAGTTTCTCTAGAACTTTGTTTATATCGAGGATTGATTCTGCATTGTTGTATAAAGATTTGGTAATTTTGCTATCGATTTCGACTCTGAACAGAGCATCTGCATTGGAATTTTTGTCCTTCGTGGAAAAAAGCCATTGAAGACGACGGTGATCTGAGAGTATCTTGAACTTTTTCCCAAACAAGTAGGATCTGAAGTACTTGGGTCCCCGTTATGGCTAACATTTCCTTTTCAATGGTGGAATATTTCAACTAGGTCTTGTTGGGTGTTCTAGAGGCTTATCGCTTGATTGGTCCCTGAGATAGTATAGCTCCAATTGCATATTTGCTAGCACCAGTAGTTAAATTAAAAGACTTGCTGAAGTCTGGATATTTCAGAAGAGGTTGATTTGTCAGTAAATTTTTGCATGAGAGCATGAGAACACAATGATATCGTCCAATTACACTAAGAAATTTTCTCCTTGGAGGCCTTTCAAAATGTTATCCATTAACCTCTGGAACGTAGCTGGAGCGTTTGTTAATCCAAACGGCATCCGGACATACTCATAACGACCATTTTCGACATTGAAAGCAGTTTTGTATATAAAGTTCGTTTCACCAGGGTTCATACTTGACCTTGAAACTTGAAAAAAAAAAGGGTTGTCGTAGATTAATTCATACGACACATTCAATTTTTTTGACAAATTAAAATGAATGACTTCTCTTTTAAGAACGTTTTTGACGTCATTGATTTGTTTCAATAAATTTTTATTTGTTAAACAAGGAAAGCAAATGCTGGTGGCAAGTACAAACCCTGGCAAAACAAACTTTATGTATCTTCTTTAGCCATTTCGATTTGGTGGGTTGAAACCACTTGTCAAATCCAAGGTCGTGAAGTATTTGCATCTACCAAGTGTTTCAGCCAGTTAGCAGTTTTCTTTCTTTGTTATTTATGTTTCATTCCTGATTTATCAACACCGGCAACGTTGTACTGTCAGCGCGACTCGAAGCACGAAGAAGGAGAGAATGGACAATTAGACTCTCACAGCAGCAGCAGCACCCACCGTACCGCAAGAAAGCAGCTCTATATTAGAATCAATTTTCATTTAAAATTTAATCAGTTATTGTCAATAAACTAAGTAATTCTCGTTACCATCAGCTAGTCCATTATTTCAATCTTAATACAACAAGAAATACAGTCCTAAATACCAAGTTTGTCCAAAAATGTCTGTTATATTAATTTGGAAGTGGGAATCGTTTACTTAAGAAAGGGTTTGTAATTCTTTGTCTTGATGTTGAGTCAGTTCGTATAGTTATTTCTATGAGTTCACACGCTCTGCTTTCCACGCTGTGTTCGATATAATAAATATATTGAATATCGATAATTAACAAGTTGTTTTATTTCTTAGTCCATTTCCCAATATCATCGAATGCTACTTCGACATTCACTATACTCACAAATTAAATAATAATAGTACCTCCACTTTCTATTTTTTCGATTGTGCCAATTTTACGGAATTAAATAACTTCTATGGTTCAACTGACCGGGGGATCCACTTTGGACATCGATTTTGCCATTCAGAAATTTTATAAGATCCTACTCGATGCTAAAGATATCTATGTCCCAAAAAAAAAACTCTTATAAATCAGAAGCATCCCTATGTTGGATTGACAAAGTTCTCTGTGAACGTATTGCCAAAAAAAAAAATTGCAGAAAAAATTTAAGAAATCTAGCTTGCAGAGTGATTATGAGGTCTTTTCAAACATAAGGCGGTTCGAGACCAACTTGTGTTATTTAACGTTTATTTCTAGAGCAGAACATCTTATTCCCGAAAACATCAAACATTTTTGTTCATACGTGAAAAACTTAACTGGTGTTTCTGGTCTGCCCATCATAATGCAGTACACTAATCAACCCCTCATTAATTCTGATTATATTGCTGATGCTTTTGCCTCGCACTTTCAGTCCTGTTATTCAAATGACGAAGATGTGGCTTGTCCAACAATAGCTCTGTGGAATTTTCTTCAACTTTTCATATTTTTCTGACAGAGGAAATTACCGAGAAGTTATCATCCTTAGATAAATCTAAGAAAGCAGGCCCTGGTGGCATTCCACCCTTATTGTTGAAATCTTGTTGCTCCTCCATTGTAAACCCATGGAGAGCACTTTCCCAAAGATCGATTGATGCAGGTTACTTTCCTTCCTTACAGAAAAAATCTTCTTCTTTCTGTTTTCAAGCAGGGTGATAGGTCGGTTGTCAGTAATTAATGTGGAATATTTCTTCTCTCTGCCATACCTAAATTTTATGAGTTAATTCTTACTGATAAAATTTTGTACACATATTCCTGAACAACATGGTTTCTATACAGATCGTTCTGCCTGTACTAACCTAACAGTTTACCAGGACTTTCTTGTTTTATCCGTTGAAACTGGCTGTGCTGTAATAGGTTGACGGTATAGTCGTATTCACGAGAGAGTTTGAATTTTGACCGTTATTTTCACCAGTTGAAAATAAATAAAATCCCCAGATCTGTCCCTTTTTTTGACAACTATCAAATAATGATACATGACATTTTGTTTTGACACATAAAAATAACAGATTCGGGTCTTTATTATTTTTTTATTTGTTATTATCGCAATCGGTTTTTTGGGTTTTTATGTAGTGTTCTGTGCCTTTGTTTCAGTGTTGCGTTTCAAATCTGGTTTTAGTTTGGATTTAAGTGTTTACTCTTATTATAAGTGTTTACTTTGGACTCTAATTTCAGGATTTTTGGATTTTAATAACTTAACTTCCTTTAAAGAAATTGAAAATAAATTTTTATTCTGAAATGTATATCACTTTTCTAAATACGACCCTGTCGTTTATCCCAGCTGTCGGAATCGAAGCGCTAACGCATGCTAACAACCTAAAGAAAAAGTTTATTAAAAATGTCAACGCGAACTGTCAACTTCACTTTCTATCGTGATTTAAGGCGATTTCGCCTCAGTTTGGTCTGTCAAACAGGTACCATTCAATTTCGGATGGGTGAATGATGCTGTCACAACAACTTTGGTAGGCCCTTTGGTCTGTCAGATGCTATACCGCGGTTTGACTGGGTTAGTGGAGATTTGGTAGCTTTCTGTTTCTTTTTCTCTCATGTCCAAATAAATGTGTCAAAGTCAAAATGTATCCACTGAATAGACCTATCTATTTTACCAGACAAAGAGGCAATAATACGAAAACTTCATTAGATGAAAAAAGACACAGAACGCTCATTGCGCAAGACGAGGCAAAACGTACCAAATTATGTTAGACTTACGTATAGCAATCCATTCTTCTTATTTGCACGAGATAAAAAAGGAAGGAGACCGCGTGTTGTGCAACGTATTTGTCAATGAAAACTTCAAACAACTTTTGAATGTCACTTGCCAAGCTATGTCAAGTTGAATATC